TGGCGTAGTAACTTCCGCCACAAAATACACCAAAAGCAGCGAAGAAGACCCCCGAGCATGGTTGCCATGGTTGCCCTTCTGTTTATGCCTCGCGGTGGATTTAGCAACATGTAGTTCATGTAATTCTCCATGTCCACTTGTTGCTGATGGTTGTGGTAGAGGAGCTGTAGATTTTGCACTAACATCTGATCTGTAGCATGGTCAGTAGCAGTAGCAGTAGCTACTGACAGTAGCTGACAGTAGCTACTGGCCATGCTACAGCAGTGAGCAGCAGAGGTGGGGAGAGGTGGGGCTATGGCTCATCGTTATCAGGAAAATTATCGTATAGGGCGTACACACTGAGCCGTTTGACCCCCCAGAGCATTCCGGTTGCAGAGCTATCCACCGTGGGACCCCAAAGTAAGATACTTTGTTTGCGCTTAAACAGCGTTTGGTTTATGAGTTATCGATCCTCAAAGTCTATATCTGTCAACATCAGTACAATTCTACCAAACTCAGATTACTTGATCTTCCCTGGGTGGGAGGCTGGGAGCGTTTGTTTTATGTTCACTTCAGATACAGAAACTGTTTCGCTTCAAGTGATACCTATCAGGCCATTGTCACATCCTTTATTTAGATTTACCTGCTTTCCATAATATTTTTAAAAGGCATGCATTGCATCTTAACATCTCTTCCTTTGTGTTTGGCAAAGAGAAAAAAAAGATTTTACCTGGACAGTTGTTGTTTAATGACAATTACTTACTCCAGTTTAGTGTTCAACATAAAAGGTTTACTTTTTGTGTGCTCATTTAAAGGGGACCTATCATGCAAAATGCACTTTGTGATGTCTTTTATACATAAATATGTGTCCCCGGTGCGTCGGGGGAACTCACGCAGCGTCATAAAATAAAACCCTCTCTCTTTTCCTCTGTACCCAAATCTTTTAAAAACGGGTGTACAACGAGCGGATACAGATGTCCATCCGAGGTGACGTCGGCGGACCCACAGAAAGTTGCTATCAGAAACAATGCCTGACGTGTTTTGGACGTCTTTGTTTACATTAGCAAGCCTCGCTAACACTCAGAGCTAACCTGTACTGTGTAGAGTACATGTGTTTAAAAAGCAGGAAATAAAAAAAGAATTCACCTTGTGATAAACCTGCAAGAGAAAAAGCATTTGAGCTCCATACTATTTCAGAAATAATCCTTGATTTAAACAGGTTGGCGTTTTATCACAACCGAATTTAACTTTATCTCCGGTAGAATTCTGATCAGGCATTAGCTCCGCCGACTCTTATTTTTTTTTTTCAAGCTAAGGACCCAAAATCTGCGTTTCTCTAAACTGCAAAAGAGGGGTTTGAGCAATATGAGGCATGGCTACAATGGGTGATCTGTTTGGTATTTTGAAAAAAAAACTTCACAGACATGTTTTATATAGGTATGGCCCTACAATATATTTTTCAAATATAGCATGATAGGTTCACTTTAAACAACGCCTGTCCTTACTAGTGTTGGTTACTCTTGTGGTGGAAATTCCTCACTTAATCACCTTCTGGTAAGAAAAGAACAAATAAACAAGCTTAAACCAAATGTGTGTTATTTAATAAAGAGTTATAGCATTTAACACAATCAATCATATTTCCAGCTGGAAAGGCCAGAGGTCCTGCACTATTAAGGGCCTAGGTAGTACCCAGATCTGACCCTGTTACACAGAAAAGCAATGTCATTTATACAGATGAGACACAGGAAGGTTGGCAATCAACATTACAGTCCCAAGAAGGGTGGGGGGCAGACAGAAGGGGAAGCACAGTATGTTAATTACAACCCTAACATCCATTATGATAATTGCCTGACAATGGTCAGGGCGACACCCTTCTGTCTGAGAACATGTCATAGCCAGGAAACCTACATACATATTGGATCACTGTAAATTCCCATCATAACTTTCAGAGATAACAACACATCTCCCTCCTCTGGATGCCCTTCTTTCAACTCATTTTGAGACATCTTTGATAAATTGAGAAGCGTATTTATTCTCCAGGCCTTTTAGTGTTCTAGTTTATGTACACTAACAAACTGCCCACAAGTTATCAGGATATTTGTACGCCCTATGATTGTACTCTCCTGAACATCTTGGGTCAATAAGAGCAGACCAAGAGCTAAATTAAACTATGAAAAGAAGCCTTTGTTTGGGTCAAGAAATCGATATTGTCATATCAATTACATATAGTTTCACAATATGGGGCTGGCATTGTTTTGTTGTTGTGAATGCTGTTACAGGATGTTGCAAAATAAACTTTTTTTCTTATTGCTGCCATGAACATCTTTATACCGATCATTTATTCATAGTCTCACTCAACATTATTTGCATTTTGGAACTAAATAACATTGAAGCACTTCAGGGGGGAAAAGTAATGCTGCTGAACATATTTTTTCAGCAGTTGTGCAAATATAAATGTTACCTGCCAGCACATCCTAGGGTAGCAGTGCTCTCATATTGAGCAGAATGGATGTCAAAGTGATTGTGGTTTCCTGTGAATTTTAGGATTGACTTTAGAGTCCTCTTCCTCAGAGCCCTTAATGGGCAAGGACCCTACAACTCCCTTGTCAGCTACAAGCCGTCAAAAGCACTGCGATCCTCTGCCGCTGGTTTGAGATCCCCAGAAACGGCAGCGAAAAGAAGTTTGGTGATGCAGCCTTTGTCAATTATTGCCCAAAGCTATGGAACAAAATACCTAAAGACATCAGGAAAGCATACTCGGTGGAAGTCTCTAAAAAAAAAAGCTCCAAAAATATTTGTACAAATTATCCTTTGAGGAAGCTACCTCTTGCTCTTTGCTGCACTTTCTCAATGCACTCTGATGCATTTTAAACTGTCACCTAATTTTGTATTATTATTATTATTATTCGCTGCCATTACTTCGATGTGTAATCACAATGTGAATTCGCAATATCCTCCTTTTAATGCACTATTTTAACTTTTAATCCATTTTTTTTAATGTCTATTCTATGCTCCTTTTAAGTGTATTTTTATGTATTTTTCTGTTTGTCATTCCAGAATTCGAGGACAATTTAGACATCAACACTTTTGAAAAATGAACCTTTTATTTTATTCTTTTTTGTAATGTATTTAGGAAAAACAGATAATAAACCATAAAAAAAGTGATTTGCCCAGCTAAGGCATCAAATGTACACTTTTTATTAGATGTTTTATTTGTTGTGTGCCATGCTTTGTGCAACCCTGTTACAAATACTCATTAAGCAGAACAAATAGGGTAATAGAAAATGATAGTAACAGGGTTGAAATTAGAGTAACAGGGTTGTGTAAAGTAACAGGGTTGAATGGCTACATTACTTTTGATTGTAGATCAGGGCTATTCAATTGGCGGCCCGCGGGCCAAATCCGGCCCCGGGGTGATATTTACTGGCCCTTTGAGTATAATGTTAAAAAGTAATCAATTTTTATTTTTTAAGATTTTAATTTAAAAAAAAATGTGTGCCATAGTGCCTTTATTCCAGAGAGGGTGTTACATTATGAGAGATAGAGGGGTAGACAATGCCTGAAAACTTCGACGGGCTCGGGTTTCGAACCCACCTACTATACTGTAGTGACAACTCCTGTCATTGATTGCATCTCTGCGTGAATGATTAGATCATTTCACCTAAATGAAATCAAATGAAACATGTAGGCCTACTGAGTTCTGAACTTGCCATTTAGATCTATAAAGGCCTTGGGGCTATGTTGTTTGATTGAATTAAACACAATATATGCACTCCACTATGCTGTTGTAGTATTTACTGTATCTGAAGCTCTTAAATTGCTCATATTTCAAGCCATCTTTTTCCCGGCCCCTTGCTTTGGATCATTTTCATCAACCGGCCCCCATTCCAAACTAATTGAATAGCCCTGTTGTAGATCATGACATAAATGAGACAAATAAATACTCAGGACCCCAGAAATGTTGTTTGATAATATTTTATATATATTTTCTAATAAAGAATCAACCCTGTTATTATTATTATATATTATACTTATAGTAACAGGGTTGCAAGTAACAGGGTTGCAAATCAATGCTAATGTTAGCTTTTATCTCAGGAATTAATGTTAACTGCACAATGTAATGCTATTGTCAAGGAATGGACACACTTAGATATTTAACTGAAGAAAGATACATTTGAAATTAATTTGTTTTAGTCTCATAATTTGAGTAACAGGGTTGCGTTTGTATGAGTGCCACACTCCTTCAAGAGTGACAAGATTGGAAATATATAAAAAATAAAAGAGAGGACTTAGTTTTGGTCTACCCATGGTAGTAGCACATGGCTTGCTGATGTCCTTTCCACTGTGTCATGTGACAAACAGTTTTTTCACTTCCTCTGCCAAGCTAAAAAGGTTTCGGTAACAGGGTTGCGCGCATGTTGTGGGACACACTTTCATTGTAAAATTACTGTTATTTAAAATATGTTTATGATTTAACAAATTGATTTGACCATTACAACAGAAATATATCAATATAATAATTTTAAAAAAAAGTAAATAAAAACCCTATTTTAAATGTTATATTTGACATGACAAGTTGGTCACCAAGAAGCGGGGACAAGAGAAAAATGCCATTTTAGGGGATGCTCGAGAGCTATTTGATATTTTAAATAATATTTTGAAACCATTTGTTCTACAACTTTATATACATCTTGTCTCAAGACAAGTATATTTAACACAACAAGTGCATGTTTTAGCTTTTTGGGCATGGATTATTTGATTTTTTAATATGGGGGACAAGAAATGTCCTCCAATTCTGGAATGACCGAATAAAACGGCATGATCAACATTCTACACAATAACAACACATAGCTGGACAAACTAAAATTACATGTCCAACCCACCCTAACCCTTTATTTTCTTCCCAGAACCGAGCGAGAATCGAGCGCACCCACATCTCTGTAACCCCGCCCCTCCGGGTGACTCCCCCAATGACGCCAGCAGAGTACGCCCAATGCGGGGGCTTTGTGGATGGGCCTGGCTGCGCCGTGGAGAAAAACGTGCATGCATCTCGTGTGGTGTGTCATTGACAAACAAACCGAGCCAACGCTCACAGAAACGCTTCTCTGTGTTTTATACAACTGCTGCATACAAATAGCACCAAAAAAAGAGGGATTCATAAAGGGCTCGCGGCATGCATGCACGCGTTACTGTGCGCGCGGATATTCGAAGGTGTTGGAGGTTTTCGAGTAATTAAAAGTGGACCTATGGAGCTGCTGCTGGCACACGGAGGGCTGGGCTGTGACTTCTGACTGCCTGCATTGTTGCATGTTTCCTCGAATGGAATAATTGTCCTCCTCATTCATCAAAGGAATATTATTGATTGACCCTCCGTTTCACTCTCAATGGTGCTTGAAGGGTAAGCAAAAACCGAGATGTCAGCGCATTGTTTATTCTTTAAAATCATCACCGCCTTCGTGCCTTTGTTTTTTCCCATTCGTTCCCCTTTCTGTATGTTTGTAAGCTAGAAAGACCCTGGTGCACACTTTTGTGCTAAGCATTTTTATCACTCACTTGGAGAAATACACGAATGCATTTCCAAGTGCAGCATGATGCCTCTGTAGGAGGCCATTGGCAACAAAAACACCGTGGGTCTGTGTCTCTTGTGTTTGCAGAGAGATGGACGGCATCGGGAACAACATGCAGAAGAAGGCTGCAGAGCTGGAGCGGCTCGCCGAGGTGCTCGTCACCGGAGAACAGCTGAGGTAGGTCGGTGTGACCCGGGGGAGGAATCAGGCGGACCCTGTGTGTGTTTGCAGGGGACACATTCAGTGGAAGCAGGGGCATCTGCAAAACTGACCACTACATTTACAACCATGACTGAGTAGCTACTAATAAATACATCCTGTAAGTAAACAATCATTGTTTATTTAGTCCTCAATGGTGTATATTTGTGTGGCTGAGATTTGTTTGAACAAGGAACTGTCTGGACAAAGTGGGGTGGTGTTAGCATGTTTGACCGTAGGTCAATCATCAAGCATGTTGCTCCCCCTCACTGCAAACTGGCACTAGAGGCAGGTCCACCGCAGGATATACAGGCAGACAAAGTCGTCCACACATGCACCCCTTCCCGTGCACATGCTGCTCCTCACCTACTGTAACGTGCACATTTCAGCCTGAGGCATTCTTAAGGATGTTGTTTTGCTTTATACAGGACTGAACACATGACTCATTTAGATTGCTTCAGTAATAAAATGCCCTTTGAGCTGCACATGGAATGACCATCCTACTAATCATTATCATGCCCTGCCCATTCCTATCAGGGAATTGTATGGCTAACCTTGGCAGAGTTGTTGACATACCTTTGGCACCCTTTGACCTACTGTACTCAAAGAAAGGCTCCAAAACCCCGGTGGCGTTCTCTGGCTCATGCTCCCGCGAATGAATAGAGGCTCAGTAGGTAAAGCATGGCACCAATGCCAGGAATTTCAGCCCTCGGCTAAACTATGAGGAAAATACGTCACTAAATAGTGCTTTCCAGCTGGGTGGGATACACTGTTAGAGCTTTGGCTGTCTCTGAAGAAGTACCCGCTGTAGCATGGTTCTGTTCTGAAGGACCATAAAAAGTAACACCAGTCAACACCTCAAGAGATGAATAGTTTGTGCCTGGGTATTTCTTTATTGAACTCTCTTAGCATTGGTTTATGTTTTCTGGGTGTCATCATCATGCACTGTGTGTGCTTGTGTTAGTGTCCCTGGCACAGCTGTATACTGAGGCTGCCAGCTGGCAGTGGGGCCTCTGTCAGTGAACGATGGGTAGGGCGGGCTCGCTATGCCAGAGTCCTTTGCCATTGAGACACCGCTGTTCTGGGGGAAAGGGCTCAAGGATGTGACATTCGGGTCTCACTCTGTGTCTCTAAATCTCAGTGTTTCTGCCTTTTGTGCAGACATTGCAGTCCAAGAGCTTTCTTAGTCATGCTGCTTGCATGACTCTAGCGATGGGGATTTAAAAACTCCTGTTCCTTTCTCCAAATATTCCAACAACCAGTGGCGGCTGGTGGAAAATATTTTAGGTGGGGCTGTGGAAATGGTGATCAAACAATACTAGGGGGCATTTTTTTGAGAAAAGACCCCCTAAATTATGACTTCTGGTGATGTTAGAGGGGGGGGGGGAGGACAATTTGAGGCTTAAAAATATGAGAAGACTGATAAATACCTCCATAACTTCAGTGTGGTTAGCTATGAATCTTCCAAAACTTCCAAACACCTTGTCCTGGACATAGTTTCTACAGCATAAACTGTGCTAACAAGCTGAGATTCCAGATTCTAGAAATATAAGTATCATCACTGAGCGATCAGAACTCGCGACAGGGGAAGCAAATACAGACATCACACGACGTAGCTTTAGGTAGCAAAACACGGAGATATGCTCACCTTTTGCAGAATAACAATTCTGATCAAAAACGAGAAAAACGCAGCTGAAGGTTAATCCAATGTGTCTGTCACAAATGATTGATGATCCATAATTCCATTTTTATGTCAAAAACGGAGTTTTCATTAGCTGCTAATGGTAGCTTCCAGAGTGTATGACAGCTTCCTGTTTTGTCTCCTTGGATACGAGTCCAAACAACTCACAGACTGCACCGGGCGCTCACGTAGGAGCCCTGTGACCATCAGATTTGACGACGCTGATTGGCTGAAATTATGTTTCGGCGGCATAGTTTAAAGATAGCAACAGTTGGCTTCTGCTGCACTTGCTGCCCTCTCGTCTGGGCGCTGTGCATAGCGCCCAGACGAGAGGGAGTAATGATACACTGGCAAGGCCAGGCAGGACACATGTGACTTATCAGTAACTTTAGACATCGTAACACAATTTTAAACGAGATTTTATTGTAGATTATACATTTTACTGATACCAATTATATAATATTTACCTTGTTTATTAAAAATAAAAATAAAAATAAAAAATATATTTTTTAAATATATATATATATATATATATATTTTTTTTTTAATGTGGGAAGAGGGGGGGCGGCGCCCCTATGGGCCGGCCGCCACTGCCAACAACTATTGGATTGATGGCAAATGAAACTTGGTACAACTTGTCATGCCCCGCTCAGGATGAATTGTAATAGTTTCTGTGTTCTCTTAAAGGAATAAGAAACGGTTATTTTAATGTCCGTCCCTTTTTAATATTTCTAGCACTACCATCAGGCCAAAACGATATTTGTCTAATGATTTGTTTTTTGGACAACACGGCTGCAAAACAATAATTCTTCCATAAGCCTCGGCTGTACTTTGGGTTTGTTAAAGTAAGTGAACATGGTTAATATACCTCCTTAACATCAGTATGTTTCATTTTAGTTGTGAGCATTTAAAGTTATGTTTGCTATGCCTTTCTATAGTCTTTCATTGATTTTGTTTGTAGTTACAGTCTCCAGTACAAATACTGACTGGAAAGTTTAATCATTGATGCTCTTCCTCATTGATTCACCATGAATCACTGCTTTTATGTTATCCTTTGGTCTAAATTGTTATATCAGACCAAATGCTGACATACATAAGGGACTAAGAAAGTTACAGTCGTTACATTTTGTGAAATGTAGAGTTCATTAAAATACAATTTGACGTTAAATAAGACACAGCTCGTACAAAAGCTAGGAGTGAACATAATCCACACCTTTTGTTTGATCATTTTATTACAAGTTCATAGAACATTTGTGTTCGTTCCTGGTACTGATAAGAGCATGCTGTCTGTTTTGTAACCTCTTATCACACATTTGTGATTTGTGTGACCATCATAGCAACTGCTTGTAATGTAGTGCAGATCTGTTTCAGGCACTGCGTTGAAACAGACAGAAAGACAGAAACCATGACCCACAGACACACAGCTGCTGTAGTAAGGCTTGTGACCAGTTCATCGCTGTGAATAGACCGTTTGTTGCGCTAGGATGACTGTGATAGAGAAAAAGGCTTCGTGAATGTTTGCAGCCTGGGGCCTCATCATGGTCATACTGGGAGCCAGAGATTCATTCAGAAACTCTGTCGCTTCTCATTGTTTTATCCACACCAGACATTTAGGAAGTTCTATAACAGAGAGTGACCAACACAGCGAGAAAACCTTCCACAATGAGCATCGTGTAACCAAAAAGCTACATGGATGATATTGCTTCCAGCTTTAATTAAGACATAACTTAAAAGTGGAGGAGGAGGAAAGGATGATGCTGGACCCGATTGGAAGTGAAATCTGTTCAGCTGATCTTGTTTGTGGGTCTCAGTGCAGGATTGGACCAGGCTGTCACTGCTAACCCGAAGAGATGCTCGCCAGCTGCACACAGACTCAGCATGGAGGGGGGCTAGCTAGCTGCAGGAAGCTCAGCTAAAGGCTGTGGTGGGCTGTTTCACAATAATCAGGGCCAGGAAGAGGTCCGCTTGATGATGTGAAACCTGCATCTAGGCCATCTGTAGAGGCAGGAGAGGGTTATCATGTCTCCATGCAAATAGTGACAATATAAATTCCAGCAGCCGGTGTTTGAATGCCATGCTTTCACCTTGAGCCTAGTGGAGTGGTTTGCTCTGTCTAGTAAAATATAAATATAGATTTGTCCTTGTATGAATGTTCAGTTTGTTCTTTGGTAAATGTTTTCCCCTTGTAAACAATATTTGTATAATATATACAAGATATTGTTTGAATATATATACACTTATTTACTAGTAGAATGACAGCCAACTTTAAGACCTTGAAGCTTTTGTCATTACTTTCATTCTATTTTTTTGGTAAATGTTGTATTGGATATAGAATTATAGTCTTTTTCCTTTTAACTGACAACAAAAAATAACCTTTGTATTAAAGATGACAATGCTACTAGTATTTGTAGTGTGTATGCATATTGAAAATATATAAAAATGGTTATATATAAATAAATAGGTGAAAAGTGAATGAAGAAAATAAGAATATTTACTTTGTCAGGAGGCAATGTTATTAGAGAGTAAAAGTGCTTTTCTAATAAAACAAAAACATCTCGAAGCCGCAGGGAAATGTATGGAGCCTTATTAGACTTTCCATAGAAGTAAAATAGACTGTCTTTCCAAGAGAGGTAAAGGGTATTACTTCTTACATTGAAGAATAAAAAAAAAAAAGGCCCCATATACAGTATCGCTCTAAAGGGCACATCTTGATCTCATTCATATAATCACCAGGAAGTTTTGTTAATGCTATTGAAATCAAATCAATAATTTTAAAAGGGCAATGTATTTTGCTGATAAAATCAAATGTTTAGCAGAAGAATTCTCACTAATTAAGTTTCTCCTCAGGCTGAGGCTCCACGAGGTGAAGGTGATCAAGGATCGGCGGCACCACCTGCGAACTTACCCAAACTGCTTTGTGGCCAAAGAGCTCATCGATTGGCTGATCGAACACAAGGAGGCCTCCGACCGAGACACGGCCATCACGATCATGCAGAAGCTTTTGGACCAGAGCATCGTTCACCACGGTGAGGCTGAGTGAGGGGTTAATCTTGTGTGGTATTAACTTCTATTGTTGTTTCTAATTTCTGTAACAACTAGGTTTTCTCTGTCATTCTCTTTTCGTCTTGGTTTACACTTTCTGCGAATCACGTGTGCCTCTTAGTCGATGATTCTCTGTGTCTTTCATTAATGTTTCACACTACCTGTTTCACATTTGACTAGCAGTGAAAACAGTGCCCAAAAGAGTGACTGAAGCGTCCTCTTTAGTTAAAGTTTAGGCAGAGCAAATTCAATGTTAACTCATCCAAGCTGTGTTTAGGTTTCATTGACAGCTCAATACACAACAAATCTAAATTCCCATGACCCCTTTAACTTTCTATTTTCTACCATCATAAATTACACTTCACTGGTTATATCCTTAAGACTTACCCTCAAAGCACTTATGTTTTCAGTGTGTGACGAGCACCGGGAGTTCAAAGACCTGAAGCTGTTTTATCGCTTCCGGAAAGACGACGGCACGTTCCCGTTGGACAGTGAGGCCAAAGTCTTCATGAGGGGGCAGAGGATCTATGAGAAGTATGAGCATATGCAAACACGACATGACGCAGACAGTTCTCTTTCACCTGTTTAGCATGAAGCTATGTAGGAATATTATGAAACAGCTTTCTTGCCATGGGTTGGATAAGAAGATTGACACCACTTTTATATATGGAGGATATTTATGACGTTCTAGCAAGCTGCTAGTCTGCTTAGCTTAGCATACCATCTGGAAACAAGGACATTTAGTTATGTGTTAGACAACTTTGTAAGCAGTACCAAATGCCAGGTGGATTTGTGTGCTATATTTGACAGAGCCAAGCTAAATATTTCCCTTTGATGCACTGATACAAATACTGATGTTTCCAGAAATATGCTTTACCTCCTCGAAGATTATACTGTTGAAGGGTGAGGATGTGATGAAAAATGAGTAATGAAATTGCTGAACCAGTGTGTCGGAGATGCCGCTACCTTTAATGTTTTGAAAATGTCTTGGTAAATTGAATTCTACTAGATTAGAGAGCATAGTTTGGAGCTTAACTGTCTTCTAACCATGATAAAAGCCTGCTGGGATCGAACAAACAGAAGATATTAGAAGCAGTTTGACAAGAGATGAGTCCTAACAGTTGTCCAGGGACACTGCAGAATGTGTTTATCTGAGGGCAGAGGACACCACTAATGGGACTGTTTATGTTTATCATCAGCTTTCTACCCATGATGTTGTTGTTCAAATAATGATATGACTAATTGTTGCTATAGTAACCCCAAAGTCTTTTTGTGTGCGTTTCCGCTCCTCTTATTGGCATCTGTACAGTTTTTGATGTAAACACACACTCTTTGCGCTTACGACTAACTAATAAGTTCAGCCCTTTTTTTGTAACACACACACACACACACGCACACGCACGCACACACACACACACACACACACACACACACACACAGAGAGCTTGACTTCCCTACCCTGTCCAACACATCCTGCCACCTCTTTGTCACATGAGTAAACGCTATTCCTGTCTCTCTTAACACATACACATCCACTCTCTTACAAACAGAGGCATATTGTTCATATTTCTTTCTGAGAAAACACACACACACACACCCACACAAAGCAGTTGCATAAGAGGAAGAAATAGTCCAAGGGGAGACATCTGTCGTTTTAGCTCTCAAAGCTATGTGTTTATGTAATCACCATGGTGCAACCCAGGACACACACGCAAGAACACACACGCAAGAACACACGCAAGAACACACACTCCTTGCCTCCTTACAAACTAAACTTGCTCAATGATAACTCTTATTGCACAAGTAACATTCCAAACCATATCAAAGAAACTGACCATCTCCCAGTCTCTATGCTTTCTTTATTTAAGAATTGGTTTGCAAAGATTTAACAGAATTACTTCTATAACAAAACTATTAGACCTGTTGTATTGTTACTCTTGAACAGAAATGCGGCTTTATTAGATGTCGGCCTCAGCTTTTAGGTCATATCCATATACTCGAAAATTGCATTTTTCTTTTATTGTCTGTATATTGGTGCAAGCCTCTTTTGAGCCATGCTAGTAGCTAAAGGAATGGTCATGTAGGTTGGTCCTTCACCTTCTTCCAGCCTAAAATACCGTGATGCACATTGATGTTTCCCTCCAAATAAATTGTAATAACTTTGATGATTCCCTGACTTTCTCTGAAACATCATCGTCAGGTCAATATTATTATCTCCATCAAGAAGGTTATGTTTAAGTTAGTTATGCTGGTCTGTTTGTCAGCACTATTTTTAGAAAAACTACAGTGCCGATTTTATTAAAAAGGTCCGACTGGTACCTTTTTAGATTGTACAGTGACTTAATGTTGCAAAAGTGACGTTATTTTCATTATCATCATCTTCAGCTGTACTCTGTGTTTAATGATAATTAGTTAATTTTAGCATGCTAACACGCCACCACTAAGGTGTTAAACATGGTAAACATACAGTATGTGGCGTCAAGTACCCTTCCTCTCAGCCAGATTCATCTAGTGCTTCCATTGGAAAAATAAACAGCACTCCTCACACACTCATTGATCTCTGGGGCTGTCAATGTTCCGATCAGCGATAAACAAACCTCAGGAAAATATTTCAAACAGTTGTTTTGACAGCATTTCCGAAGCGACAGTGTTAGTCAGAGAGGACAATGTTTGACAAGCCTTTCAGTGTGTGTGTGTGTGTGTGTGTGTGTGTGTGTGTGTGTGTGTGTGTGTGTGTGTGTGTGTGTGTGTGTGTGTGTGTGTGTGTGTGTGTGTGTGTGTGTGTGTGTGTGTGTGTGTGTGTGTGTGTGTGTGTGTGTGTGTGTGTGTGTGTGTGTGTGTGTGTGTGTGTGTGTGTGTGTGTGTGTGTGTGTGTGTGTGTGTGTGTGTGTGTGTGTGTGTGTGTGTGTGTGTGTGTGTGTGTGTGTGTGTGTGTGTGTGTGTGTGTTGTGTGTGGTGTGTGTGTGTGTGTGTGTGTGTGTGTGTGTGTGTGTGTGTGTGTGTGTGTGTGTGTGTGTGTGTGTGTGTGTGTGTGTGTGTGTGTGTGTGTGTGTGTGTGTGTGTGTGGTGTCACCAGAGTGTTTTCTGTTTACCTCACTGGGGCATTTGCTGTCAGTTTATTGTTAAAGAGCATAAGTTTATTTTATTGCCCAATCTGTAAAACTGAGTTTTTCCATAAAGAATCATAAAAAAGCACCACTTGTGTGCTTACCATAAACATTATAACTTTCTTGTTAATCAGTCATACAGCATGAAGAAAAGCGTTGAAAATGCTCTCTGTTTTCTTTGTTAATGTACCTTAGCGTAAATGTGCTTATAGTGATATTTTGTGTTTTGTCTTCACATACATTTTTATTAGATAGTTTTTTAGACAGCTTTGATTTAAACTATCCCATAAGCGGTCCATTTTCTCTTTTGATCAAAAACATTTGACTCCTAATCTTCTGACTATTACAAAACCTGTTCTGGAACATGAATGATAAATCGTTAACATATGATATATTTATATTATATATATATATATATATATATATATATATATATTATATTTACATTCAACTCCTTAGCTCAATACTTAGCTCTTTTTTCTAGACAGAGATTGTGAGAGAGTGAAGGAGACAGACATGTATCAGTTTCATGTGTCTTTACAAGGCTAGAAAATGTCTCTGTTTAGTCTGCCATTGCCTAGGCACCACATTCCTTTCTGGACCATTTTGCATGTTTTAGCCCATTAACTGCAAATTGAATTTTGCACAATTAACATTATTGGTGACCATCTTCTGCATTGCAGAAATCTGTCACGTGCTGTCGTATACACCAAGTACTTTCTGCTAAACCAAGACTGAGCAACACAACATTTTATTTGTAAAGATCCAGAGTTACAACTGATAATGTCTAGTGGTTCATTAAATCAATTGCTGTCTTCACTTAAGAAAAGATCCTGACCTTTCCCCATGGCTTAATGATAACTGGTGGGATGTCTTTAATTATTACAGGAAATCCGGTCCAACATACAGGGTTATTTACAAAGGAAGGTTTACCATAAAGGCATTTCAACAATGTTTTAACTAGACTAGATTGTCTTAAAGTAATGCTAATCTGTGCGGAAATTCCTGTTAAGTACTTTAAGTAATGTTATCGGGTATTTGCTGTTCCATGAGGTCACTGTTAAGAGCTTTTAGAGGTTGTGAGCGAGATTAAGAGCTGTACAAACATAACATTTCTGACATGAGAAAGTGAATTCATGGTCATGTTGTGCTTTACTGTTTGTGTATCAGAAAAACTTGCAGTAACTCACTTAGCGGTCATGTGGCCACAATGCAGCTGAAACAAGGTCATGAACACGTGTATACATGTCATACCATATGCTGCAGCTTTAAATGTGTCATCTTTTGTTAAAGGGCATCTTTGGTAGTAATGCTCAATAATACTGAGTTGCGAGGCCTCTCCTGTTAAACACATGCGAAACATTTAATTGATTAAAAAAAGGCAGACACAATTGGTTTCCTCCACTACAGTTGTACTAACTGTAGAAATAATCTATATATAGAAATGACTCGGGTTCAGTGTTTAATAATTAAAGGTAAGAGTAAGAGAGAGGTAACATGTACTGGTTACTGTATATCAACCTCTGGTTCAGATGATTTTTGCTCTGGTGTTTTTACAATCTAATGTTTTTATTTTTAGTTTGAATGACTTTCCCTAAAACTTTTGCCGGCCTGTGACCCTATGATTTACTTTATAGTGCCTTCACATGTCCCTTAAACGATTTATAAAGTCATATTTTTATTTCTAAAAGTAGTTGCATGGCTATCAGTGCCCACTGCCCAAACACCATGCAACACCGGATCTGAGTGCAGGCAGTCAGTGGTGGTCCTACAACCTCTTCTCAGTGCGCATCACTCCAGCTGAGTTAGGTATGCTGACTGAGCAACTACGCTGAGTGCACATCCAAGTCAGGGCAGTGTGCATCTTCCCACCTTAAGTCATCAGGATACATTTTACATGAACAGTGTCATGATTTGCATAGTATACTACATACACCCAAGATGCTATTATCCCAAGCACTGTGTTTACTTTTAAGTACCGGACTTTGAGACAATCCCTTTAAGCAAACACATCATGATCTGTTGACTTACCATGTTTAAATGGATTAAAGGTTATTGTGTGCTCAGGCACGTCTCATGGAACATTATGTCCACTTCTTTCAACATTTATATCTTATATCTTGACATCTTAACAACATCTTTACTTTACATGAGTGAAGGACTAAAGCATTCCTGGGTGTGCAACTCAAACCATTTTTCTTAGATTAATTTAAACTGCAGGTCTATTTTTTTTACCTCAACCCGGGGGTGAACTTTGAGGAATATAGTGTCACCATGGGACCAGGTTTATTGAAGATGTTATCTTACCTTGGTTTAAGGCCTGCTGCTTTGGATCATCAGTTGTTGCTGAATTAACCACTCTGAGAGGATGGCAGAAAAAACTCTATTTTTACAAGCTCGTGCACTTCATTTGGCATTCATTTAGTTCAATTTCACATATCAGGGTCCTCATTCAGCTTCATTAAAGTGCAAATTGTTGTCCTGGTCTCTGGAGGTTTTGCCATTAATGTTTGGCATCCCAGGAAATGTATAAACAATAGAGCTGATGGCTTGTCCATGCCAAACAAAAATAAGCGTAGTTGTTTTCCTGCCGTAAGTTAGATGTGAAGATTACCTCTTGTGCCTGTACAGTAAATACGAAGCCAGTTCCAAAACAGGTTAGTTTAGTATAACAACTTGAAACAGGGGCTGATCTGTCCAAAATTAACAGAATCTGCCACAAAGGGTATGATAATGTATTACATTTCCTTTAACCCTCCATCTATGAATTGTGTATGAATCTCTTTACTGACTAGCTTATCTGTTTTGCTAAAAGTCACAACCACGGTTAACTAATACAGATTTAGAGATGATCTATTCTCTGAAAACTAGGCAGGCAGCACTGTTTCTTCTATGGAACCTGAATCCCTTGGCAAAAGGATAACTTTAAGTTTTCAATCATTTAAGTACATTAAATGTTCTGAATATTATTACAAATCTCTCAATTGACATCTACCTGTCTGTATTGAACAGTTTGGTGTGTTGTAATGACAGTTTAGTGAATGACAGCTGTTTGAACAGACTGTGGGAATGTATTTGTGCCAGCAGCCAAACACAGCCAACAACGAGGCGACATGTTTAGTATCTCTGTCTATTTGATGGTACTTTTCGTTGGTAGCGCATGTTATGACATGTACAGGTGTATCACAGAGAGCTTATCATCTCTTATAACCACTGCCTGGCAGGTTTATTCTGTGGGAGAGTTCAGGTCTCAGTGTTAGGGTGTTAGTGTGTTTAAAGGAAGAGATTTAGTGATTATGTCCTTGGCATGTGTGTACATGTCTGGTTTTGTTTGTTGATTCATAGTTTTCGTGTACAAGGCTTCAAGAAATAACATGAATTTAGTTTTTAAATTCGCATATGTGGCTGAAGCGCTTATCCGGTCACAGTTACAGCGCAGTCTTTGTGCTCTTTGACCAGACAAATTACAGAGTGGAGAAATGAGAAAAGCTGCTGGTTTGGAGGGCTTTCACTGCTGGAAATTCCCTTTAAAATGTTTTACTTTCCTCAAGTATCTCGAATATATCTGTTAACAATGTGAAGCATTCTGACAACTCACATTTTGTTTCTTCAGATGAATATCTACAACTAAAACGACTAAAGTACATGTCCTGCAAACTGTTGCTTTGGAGACCTCAGCTAGGGCCCCAAATGTAGTGTTATTATAACATATTTGCCTGAAAGAGACAACAATACTGCACTTAGATCCTAAGTGGATTCACATTGCTTAGTGTTTTCACAGTTCCCACAAAGCTAAACTTTAAACCACCATCAGTGGGGCGAGTGGTTCGTTTAATATATCCTCAGTGTATTGATAACATTTTATTTTGAATGCAACACTCTACTCAGTCCCACTCTCTGACTTCTGAACCAATTATAGTAACAGAAATGTGCTCTCGTCTTCTCTCCACAGGTTGATGAACACAGAAAACACCTTGTTACAAACCAGGGAGGAAGAGGGCGGCACGTATGAGCGAGCGCTGGTGGGCTCTGAGTTCATTGACTGGCTGCTGCAGGAGGGCGAGATGGCGGCCAGGGAGGAGGCGGAGCAGCTGGGGCGCAGGCTCCTGGAACATGGCATCATCCAGCACGGTGAGGAAGACGCTCAACTGTTGTTTTATGTAACTATTTAAACAACCTACAGTATCAGGCAACACCTGCATCACTCAATTACTCCTTTGGTTCCAAACACTTTATTTAGTATGATAAATAAAAATGCAACAAAATGTACTCTGATTGGTCTAAAGTCCGATACTTTTGACACTTTTATCAAAAGTCAAAGTCAGTATAATTGAATGCTAAATGATGTGAAACGCTAACATTGTTTTTATCAATATTGTTACTTATGAACATTTCTATCTTTGATATTGAATTTGAAATGAAATCTGAAATACTTGATTCTCCTTTTTTTTTTAAAGCAATATAATCATTTTTGGAATCAGTCTTTGGGTACACAGCACTAATGTTTGGTCGCAAAATATAAAGAAATATAAGAATAACAAAAGTCCCATATGCCTAAAAACTAAATATACAGTATTATGAGAAAAAATTCACATTTCAGCCGAAATTAAACATTTCAATGCTAGCACAAATAAGGTTATAAATAATTGTGATCAAATGTAGGAAATATAATCTCAAGCGCATTTTATTACTTGCTGCTTCTGCTTCAGCTGGGCGGCAGACGCTATCGACAGATTGATTATCTGTGCTTGACACTTGGTGAAAGTAATTCCCCTGCTGTAATCACATGATCCTTTCAGCTAGTAGATCATATCAACTGACCCTACTGGCCTGACTATTTGCTCCTTTGCAATCATGCAATCCGATAACTGTTGTAGACCTACAGTGTGATTACAGCCCCTATTTGCACACCTAAAGACGCCGTTTTGATTATGAAAAGTCAATGTTTTCAACACAGAGAACACTTAGCTGGCCACTTTAGCATCAAAGATATGCCTAGATAGATTACAGTGGCACCCTTTATAAAAAAGAGAAATACTAGCCCTGCAACCTGAAACAAAAAATAGGTCAACACGGTTTCAAATGGGAAACTGGACATTTTAAAATAGCTCTCGTTCTCGTCCACCCCTAAAACTTGTTAAAGTTCATGTTGGGCTCCCAGTCGTTCTGAACTGACCCACATAATGTCTCACGCCGGCTGGGTTGTATTTCACTCGTCTTGATTCTCTGTGTCTCGTTTTCCTGACCTGATATGGCTCAGGTCCCTGTTCAAGAGGTACTGAATGTTACAGAGAAATAAACACCAGCAAAATGTGACCTGAATGTCACAGGTATCACGAGGTCAACAAGTTCTACTAGCTATTATGTTATCTGTGAATATGTGATATATATATTATATACACTTGAAATATGTAATCGGTTAGGCTTAGAGTCTTAGTTGTGTAAGAAAAAGTACTTAGTTATGTAAGAAAAAGTACTTGTACCACTAAGTGAAAATACTCCTTCATTCAAAAACAGTATTTAGTGTACTGAGGCTGGTTGAAGTGGAACTCATTTTATCAACATACAGTTATGTTTTAACATGTCCTATAATCTCATACTTAATCATATTTTATAATCAGACTATACGTTTCCTTCTCTTTTTATGTCCTTTACCACTTCCTTGGATGGTCGTCATTCTCCCCTCTTACAGTCAGACCACTACAGTTTTATATTTACAACATTTTTTAACATTGAACATGAATCCTGAATGAGTTTCCGTCGGGTTACCGCATGACAGGAAATTTGATTTGACGCTGATGTCTGTAGTTTATACCAGGTCTGATTTAATTAGTGTGTATTACTGCAGAGGAGGCAGATGTCCTCACTGCTAGAGGGTTTAGTTTTTTCCATTTGAACTTAAACCGTTATGTTGATTTCACCATTCTTATTCTGAAATCTACCATGCAGCATTTAAAAAAAAAAAAAATACAGGATAGAATAAATCATATTAAACAAGCAACTTATTAAACGTATTAAAAACAAGATAGCCTTAAACACAGCATGCAGAACAAATGTAATATGGATTAGAGACTGTTTGTCCATACGGAATAATAAATCATGAAAATACCGCTCCCACTTCACTTAGTTTATGTAATACAGACCTCAGTGTCATCCTCCCTGTGGAAAACAAATGCTCCACTACTGCGTGATATGCAGACTTTGCACTGTTCATATCATCCCAAACCCTTTAGTTACAGTAGGGAGAGTGATTTAAAGTAATAAAGTGTTATTGATAATGTGTTTACAGGCCTTCAGCTCCCATTAGTAACACATTATAAACATGTTGGTGTAGGATAACTGTGTTATCTGCATTACTGCTCTCTGTGTTACTGTGTAGAGGTCATGCTACCACATTCAGACGTATATTATAAAGAAGGAAAGTCTGGATGGTTCCGCATTGTGCTCATTGTTTACCATGGGACAATATGGTCACTGTTTTTTTTACACTATACATCTGACCAGCTGAGAATAGGGATAATGCGAGCTTTAGAACGGGCCTTAAAGTTGCAGATAATGTTCATACTATAAACAAATCAAGTATATAAATCACATGAATGGTCAGAGTAAAGTTGCTGTATCGCTATGCCAAAGACAACAGCAGGCTGTGATAATACTGGGCAGGGCAGTAAATGTCTAACTGACTCTAAATAAGCAGCACTAGAAGAAGAAAACTAGCAGGAGAAACTAGGATTCCTGATTTCTTGTCATGTTTAATGTGGAGAGGAGAGTGAAACACTAGCACGTGCACTCCGCTCTGCATCGGCCAAACGGCTCGCTACACCAGCACTGCGAGGGGGACCAAAGTTCCCATCAGCAAAAACACGTCGGTTTGCTATCCTGGCTCCAAAATGGTGGAATGAGCTGCCCATTGAAATCAGGACAGCAGATAGCTTACACATCTTCCGGCGCAGACTGAAAACTCATCTCTTTCGACTCCACTTCGAGCGATAGAATTACTAACAAAGAATTGATAACAAAGCACTTATATACTAATAAAGGACTGGCTTATCTAAAGCCAGTTGAGTAGCACTTGAAATGTTTTGGCTCTATGAAACCTGATGTACTTATATGATTCTGTTTTCTTCAAGTTTGTATCTTCCTGGTCGAATGCACTTATTGTAAGTCACTTTGGATAAAAGCGTCAGCTAAATGCAATGTAATGTAATGTAAAAACACCCCTCTAAAGGCTGTTTCATAGTGTGTGTTTTCTTTTGTCGCATACGATGAAAGGAATGTGTTAGCCTTGCAAAGGACACGTGAACTAACCACAAGCCCAATGTGTCTTCCGTATGACGAAATAATCAAACGATAACTAAATAGCTACACAGCAGAAATACAATAGAACCTCATGTTGCATGCGGAGAATTTGGGCTCATACCCAAATCCAAATGTCAGGTCTAACAGGCTATATCATTATTTATTTTTAAGGAAACCAAACTGTTAAATGCAACGCAATAATCCAACTGACCAGTTAACTACCTAGGTTTCCCGTTGAGTCAGTGTTCCAATGTCTTAAATAAAGTTTAAGCTGCTGTGCGAGTAGGTTAAAGATGTTAGGCATACAGTAACTGATGTTGAAATGTGTAACTGCAATACATATTCAATTTAGTTGGAATAGAGTATCTGCTGCTATGGCTCAGATTAATGAGCACTATATTACCTAAGTGGTTTTATTTGGGTGGGGGGGGTGATATGAATGGGCCTGATGACTCATCACGATACGACGTTACAGCGTAGCCTTTGATGAAAATAAGTCAGTCTGCAGCAGTGAGCAGGCTTAAGGAATACAGGCTTACTTATTGAACACAGAATATTAGGCTTCAATTTCTGAGCAGGTTACAGATGTATGTTGCTAGGTGCTTCATCGTCATCCCTTGTTTTATTTTAATAAATAATATATTTTTAATTTACTTAAGTAATCTATAGTTTTGAACTCTTTTCCAAAATCATGAACAAACAAAGCTATAAATAATTAGATAAAATGCGGGGTATTCATTTAAAAAACAAAGATTAAGCAACTCTTGAGTCAAGACTATTAATATGTGCTTCATCCTGTAAGACTTAACCTTTTCTCTTCAGTGTTCACCAAACTTTATTTTTTGTAATATATATTGAATAACTTCACTCAAATAAATCCTGGGCTTGCACATTAACATTAAATTGACAGTTTCATGTGATTTTGTCAGGTCCATGTTGATTTATTTTAAAGATTACTCTGCCTCCAGCTGAGGTAGCTGAGGTTGAAGCTCTCTGAGGTCATTTCATGTTTGTTCATCAGCTCAGGTGATCTCAGGCCAGCGTACAGTTTGTTAAGTGCTGCTCTGTCAAGTTTAAAGTTTCAGGTTCGATTAAACTCAGTTCATTTCAGGAGCCAAGTTGACATGTGGGGAAGAAAAGGGCCCTTTAGTAAAATAATCGGACTTGGGTGCAAGAAGTCAGAGTCTAAACAGTATAGAAAGACATTTAACTGACAATGTTTCATGTTCATGTTATAGTTTTAGAAATGTCATAATCAATTTCCTCATCCTTTTGATCTCTACCTTCTTCATAACTTTAACCTAAAGATGCCCGTGTTTTTATTCCTCTCTACTTATGTTTAACAAATCATATTTATTCTTCTTTTAGTCACCAACAAACACCACTTTGCCAACGGGCCCCTGCTCTTCCAGTTCAGGATGAATTTCCGGAGACGACGGCGGTTGATCGAACTTCTTCACGAGCGCAGCCGCTGCATCCCCGAGAGTCACGACAGCCCCTTCTGTCTCCGCAAACAGAACTCAGATGGAGGCAACAACAGCTTCCTCTCAGGTACTCACTGCTCTATGTTCATATCTCACATTATTTAACACAGTATGCCAGCTATTGGTAGTGGTCCGTGTGTGGTGGCCTTCAATCAAAGCCTGACAGACATTTTGGAAAAGGGATTTGTTTCTTTATTGCCATTATAGATTTGAAGTATTTTGTGAAAAAACACGATTGTATTGTCTTGTATTGATATACACACACAAAATGACCATTGTCCTGGTTCTATCTGCCATATGAAGATAATATTGTGTTGGTAATAGTAAATAGTGCTGGGTCTTGTTGACTTGGCCTACGATTAGATTTGTAATTATAAAACAATGGTAGAGAGAGAGAGGTCCCATGGGAACTTGACTGAAGTGTGCAACCATGTCAGAAAGGTTTATAATGGGAAAGAGGCTTTACAGAACTAATACCTTTTTTTTTGGACAACTACAACAAGTAACCCACTTTTTTAAAACTATGGTGACATTTTATGATAATTGATGGGGATTAAATGAGGCATCTGTCTTCCAAATGAGCTTTAATCCAAAATAAATGTTGATTGACCTGCAGGTAGACCAAGGCCAAGTTAATAAATGGTCAAACTGCTGTCTATATCCAGCTTTATTGCTCTTACCTGTTTGTTAACTCATACACTGGTGTTTAGTGTTTCATTGTGTCTACATTATTCACTGTACTGTACCACAAATTGGACCCTCCGGGGACATTAAAGGTTTCTTATGTATTTGTTTAACATCTGTCTTTGTTTCTCTGCGTCTCAGTGAGTCCCACTAAAGAGATTAAGGTGACGGTGGGAGTCCGGCGGAGCAGCATGAGCAGCAGCTGTGGCAGCAGCGGGTATTACAGCAGCAGTCCCACGCTCAGCAGCAGTCCACCTGTGCTTTGCAACCCCAAATCTGGTGAGATAACACACACACAACACCAAACACACAAAACACACGCACACAAAGTGTTAATGACCTCGTGTAAACTGAGGAAGAAATTGGAATATTGCTGTGTGCTAATCGTGCAAATAATTTATGGCGCGTCTCCACTACAGCGCGGATCCCCGTTTAAGAGAGCTGTGACGTCAGCGGCCCGTCTTTGGTTGCGTTTCCACTTGGCCTAGTACCGGCTAGCGGGTCCTAATTCACAGTTTTTCTGGCCCCATAAAATCGTGGTTCTAGGGCCAGGAACAACCAGGCTGAGTCGGGCTGAGTATGCTAAACTAGAGAGAGAATCGCTGGCAAGGAGGCTACAACTACAACAAGATGAACATATTTGACCGTGATTTAATTGTAATACACGTTTCAAAATGATGCAGAAGTAACAACATACTGATACCGGTTAGTAAAAACCATGAATTAATGCTTTGACAAGTCTGCAGACAGACGGCAGGTGAAAAACCTTTTAAAATGCGTGTTTTCTAGATGGAGATTGGCTAAGCTAACGCAATATATGCTCCGACCGTCCACACTCACAACAACGGCCTATACAGACATAAATAAACCAGCGACTGTATTCGCCATGACACAGACAGTCTGTGGTTTGTACTTGTTTAACTTTTGTCTAGTTTCTGAACAGATATGAGGAGCTGTGAGCTCTGAGTGCTAACAGCTAACGGCTGTGTTGTTTTTCTGGGGTTCTCATTGAAGATGACGTCACGGCTCCGCCTACACTGCGTTACTATAGATACTACCCCAGTTCCTAAACTGTAATGGAAATGCGCCATTAAGTGAGCCAGTCCTAACGAGGCCTAGCCATACCGAGCGAGGCCGTGTAGTGGAAATGCGCCATTAGTGTGTGTGTTTTTTGCTTTGTGTGTCTTTACTGCTGTTGGTTCTTCTTTGATGTATCGAGGAGTCCTTGACAGAGTCTCTTTGTAGCACCAGAGCTCTCTTAACATGACCACTCGCATGCAATACAGGAAAAGGAAGGCACACAAACACGTACAAAATCCTCCTCTGTCCCAAATTAACCGTATCTTATCATATCAAAAGAATCTAAAGCATTCAAGGAGACATTAAAAAAAGTCTGGTATGCTTTCATGAGGACACGGACAAATAAAAATATGTCAGCAGCCGATGAGGCATTAAAGAGGAGCTGTCCTCTAGATGTGATGAGATCAGGATATCCAGAGAGATTATGGAAATAACCAGATCAAGAGGATAAAAGGGTCTCACTCACTTCACTTCTTCTGTCTCATCAGATTAAAGTGAAGTAGCACACAGTAAACCACAAGTGCTTTGTCAGGAACACACATACTGAACAGCACACTCAGGCTTTTTGAAGGATGTTCTCCCAGATAGAGAAATACAACGGTAACAAATTGCAAAGAGACAATATCTAATACATTAAAGGTGGGGTAGGTAAGTTTGAGAAACCGGCTCGAGATACACTTTTTGTTATATTCCATGGAATGCTCTTAACATCCCGATAGCAATGAATATCTTAAGTGCTTTGACAAAAAATCCATAAAAAAATGTCATCTGTGGAAGCCGTAATACTGTAAAAAGTACGACCAATCATTGTAGCCGGCCCGGCTAAAATGACTGGATGGCCTACCTGCCTGTCAGCCTTCCATCTGTGCACAAACTTATCTCGTGCCCTCATTGGTCATGTGCGCGTTCGTGTGTGTTGGAGGAGGGGCTCTGTAAGGAAGTAGCAGATTTGTTCCGGTTGTGTATTTTCAAATTCTAGCGCACTCGAGCTGGTTTCTCCAAAATTACCTACCCCACCTTTAAGTATGTATATATTTTTTTCCTCATTTGTCATTTCCTTTTCATATCATCCCAACTGCTATATTAAACCATATGCTTTGTTGTGAAGTATGTGAGATGTGTGTGCACGTACTCACCCACATTTGTCTTTAATATGAGCAGTGCCTGGTACAGTTGATGGGTCTTCATGGATTATTTGTACATTGGCTCCTTGTAGCTGATCACTCAGTTATATCTTCCCAGTTTTCTGTTACGTCACGCTTTTCATAAGTTGTACTAAGGGAGTAAAATCATTTTCCGAGACACAAAAGTCCACTTTAGTCCTGCGTGGAGTCATGTGGTGAGTAATGTTAAGGGGAAGTTGGAGGAGGGGAAAGGGAGCTATACTGTTTCAGGAAGCAGTGAGCCTCCAGACACGTGACATTATTAGCACTTTCTACACACTTTCTAACTAACAATATGTGCGTGTGTGTGTGTGTGTGCGTGCGTGTGTGGGTGTTTTTGTTCGATTTTCATGGTATCAAGTAAGAGGGTATCAAGTAACATCTTATGTGTGTGTGTTTCTCTCAACAGTTCTGAAAAGGCAAGTGAGCCCAGAGGAGCTGCAGACACTAGGAGGATCTTTTATAAAGAAGACATTCACTGTAAGACACACACACACACACACACACACACACCAACAGTCACACAAATGTGGGAATGTGTGACACAAACACACAATTATAGATAATACCGCAGTGTACTAAAGTCATGTGCATATTCAGGAAGCTTCATCACGTGTCTCAGATAATAATTTGAAGGAAAACAATTGTGAATACTACAAGATGCACACATATATATTGTACCATTATTTAAAGAAATGTTGCACAGTGTGGAAGGTTTGATCTTTTTTTGGAAGCAGTATATTATGTAGAGATTCACCACAAACATCAGCTCACTTGCTACAACCACATCAGCAAATGTTTTTGGGTTCTATACAAACAGTGGGCGCTAAAAACTTTGAGATTGATCTACATTTCATGTTGTTCTTCAGATTGTGGGTGATGCTGTGGGCTGGGGCTTCGTGGTGCGAGGCAGCAAACCCTGCCACATCCAGGCTGTGGATCCCGGTGGACCTGCAGCTGCTGCTGGCATGAAGGTAAGGACGGAGAGATGAAAGGAGACTTAACAGAAATGTGAGCCTGGTGTGCTTCCTCCATCTCTTCCTCCACTGGGTGTGGGGAAGACAGAAAACAGGGTTAGCTTAATTGAATAAGGTTATATGAGGAGGTATTACTGTTGGAGAAATGTGCCTTTTGTGTGCCGTTTAGTACTCTCTTCACAACTGTTGACCCACAGTGCAATATGAGAAAACCCTTAGTTGTTTAAGTCTTTGAGAAATGCTTAGGCATTTTAAAACTTGGTATTTGCCTCTGATATCTGCGATCTTCTTTGCTTGGTCGCTAAGATGTTTACAGGAAAGCTAAGTGCATTCACACTACGTTTTATTTTTAAGAGTGGGTGCTTTAAGTCTGCACTTAAATAAAATGCATACTGTTATATTTAAGTGCAGGTTGCTCGAGAAGTGTTAGACAAAGATGACGGAGCAGAATAAAAAGAAAAAAACAGGGACGCATCCTGTGATGAGAAACATGGTCAGAGAGAAGCTGTACAAGCAGGAAAGTGTTGGGGGAGGAAACATGAAGTCAAGTCATGAAGAGGGAAAGCTGGGTAATGGTGGCTCTGCTTCCATAGCTGGCATGCAGGTATGTAAGCAGAGTGGCAGCAAGGAATTCTGGGAATGCAGAGTGTGGCGACTTACACCACAAAACGGAGAGAGGAGGAGAGAGCAAAGACTGAATGGGAAAAAAAGAGGAAAAGTGGAGCAGAGAAACTAATGACTTGGAGAGGAAACACAGGATACACTACTGATCCTAAGAGTTTCAAAGTGACTATTATAATATTTCCTCAGGCTCTAAGTATAATCTTTTAATTGTTCCAAACTGTTAATGTTTTAGTTTTTTATAACCTTTTAAAATAAATTGGGAAATTCTTCAGCTACATGGTTTTGACATACAGTGATTAAAAAATAACATGCTTTTTTCGGTTAAACAGAGAAATACTGCAAATCTACTGCTGTTTTCTCCCCCTAATGGCCGCCAAATTAAACTTATGAATGAATAAAGGAAAGGCAGGAGCATCAGTTAGAAGGCGCATGAGCTATAGAGATTGAAGGATGAGGATCTTAAGTTTTAGCACTGAAAGAGGAAATGGTCGGTGTAAATAATATGACTTCTGCGTTTGTTACTGTTAGCGGTCAACAGTCGTATATATCATGTCTTATCACCATGGAAATGTGTGTCATGGTTCAAAGTCGGTTACAAATGTGTCCTCAGAAAGCAGGTGTGTTTATGTCTTCTTTAGTGTGTGATTACTCAGTTGAACTCAGTGATTGTGAGGACCTCATCTAACTTTACACTATATTTTGTAGAGGTTTTTTTATTTATTTTTTGAGTTTAGGACACAGCATTATCTTTATAAGCTAAGGGGAAACAAACCTACACACAATCTGAATATAAAATGATCCTTGAAGATTACATTCTTCATGTGCAACAGTTGGAGCTACATCGTTACCAGTTTTATTATTAGGAATTTAATGCACTCCCTGCAGTTCCTAAAAGGTTAGTCCTCTTTCACTTCTCCTGAGTTTTTTTATTGTTATGTAAATATTAGGCAGTAATACAACCCAGCAGCAAGAATGAGATGCTGTGAGGTGTTGGCACAGCGGTGCAGGCAAAAGGCCAACAGAGAAATAAGAGCATCACAAAGCTCTTCATATTTCTCTTTATGAACACATGCAAGCTTTCAAAGACTGTGTCTCTATCCTACACACACACACACACACACACACACACACACACACACACACACACACACACACACACACACACCACCCTTATCCTGTCCATAATGGATCCCAGCACTTATGTAACCATCCTATGCATCGCTGTTAGAGCCTCTGCTAATGCACTTTTACAAGGCAGCAGGTAGAGCAGGTTGTGTGTGTGTCTCACTTTCTGTCCATTTGTGCATCCTGTACTGTATGTTTGCACACCAGTACATGTTTACTGACCAATATGTTCCTTTACATTATTTTAACTCTCTCTCTCTCTCTCATAATAGATGTATAATCAACTCAGTATCTCTATTCAACGATATATGATTTTTAAGGTGAATCAGTAACTAGCTGGTTTCTCTCTTCTTGATATTACGTGTACGTTTATTTATATGCGGAACATATTATCCCATTTTATTATATTGATTTCATTTGCATGCTGCGTTAAAAGCATTTTGGAAGTTGGCATTTTCCAAGCTGAAGTTTCCAACCTCTGACCTATAAACATTCCAGGTGCACGACACAGAAACTGATTTTCTTTTTGAGGCACACACAAACGAACCCTCAGCATTTTTCTTCAAAAGGTTTTGAACAGAAACGATCACTTTTAAAGATTGTTTACTTTAACAAGCTACCTAACAACATTTTAAACACAATTATTAACATGCAGAACAGGTCTTTACTAAATGACAGTGTGTTATTACTTGAAATAGAGACCAATATACTTAATCTTGCCTTTTAGTTGATGGTATATCATTTATAATGTGCGCTTCCATTGTTGTGCTGCGTTAAACAACTGCTGCATCATGAATTCAAGGACGCTGGATGTGCCAACATCTTACAAATTTGTACTTTATTCGTGCTTAGACCTTGTAGTGTGAAATGCTTCAAATAACTACAACCTAACGTTTCTGCATATTTAAACTTTTACAAGGTATACTATTCCTTAATTAGTGAGCAAAAAATCTTGAAATACATTTTCCATTCAGCCTTCATTTTGACCAAACCCACTTTTGTTTGACATTCAGTTTTAGGGGGGTCACGTAAAGAACGGATATTCTCTACACTGTTTACAGCTGCTATTGCTTCATGGATATGTCAGCTTGGCCTCATATTTAGTGAGAGAAACAACACATGTTGTTTATTCTCTCACTAAATCTTCTATCTTTCCTTTCTCTGTGTGAGACTGATTTTAACCCTCTGAGAGCAGGCAGCCATTAAATCGATTGTGGCCCCAGCCAAGACCAACAGAAGGGAGAAAGCATCAGTGGGAGAGAAAGTGGGGGAGGTGTTGGAGCTAGAGAGAGAAAAGGTGGAAAGGAGAGAGAAATGAATAGAAGTGGGTAGAAAAGGGGTGTGTTCAGAGTACTTTGACTCTGCAAATAGTGGGATATAGGCTCAGAGGTTTAGATGTGATTACAGTGAAAGTCTGAAATTCCTCTGCAGCACAGGATTAACTGTCTGGCTTTTTTTCCTTTACTCTGTCATTCTTTTAATCCCTCTTTCCCATGATGCACTCTGCCTCTCCTTTCCTGAAATATTTAGCAAGGCTAGAAAAAACATCTAATGCTTTAAAAATAGATACATGAAAACATACTAACAGGAAGTAGTGAATGTAGGTAATAGTTTGGTTTAACTAGATGCTCCCAGTAAAATGTTTCCTGAGTTAGAAGCCAATGAAACACATCTGTGAAAGTTTTTCTTCCGTCCTCACTCAGCAGAAAGTCTGCACTTTTTTGATTTATAGGTGATATATATATATGAGTAATTATCTGCTTTTTTCTCTCTCTGACAAGCCTTTATCTTTTTTGCGCTTGCAGAGCTTTATGAAAACTTTTGGGAAGGAATTGGGAGTGTGCTTGCATGTTTGTGAGTGTGTGTCTGTAAAAGCTTGCAAAAAGCCAAACCGCAGCTGCAGAACTGACGGCATTATGTTGCTAGAAGTCAACTCAGGCAACCTGTCTTTTTCTTATCAGAGCTGCCAAGTTGGAGCAGTGATTAAATAGCGATAAGGAAGGCATGGTGCAGGCGTGACACTGGAGTGATTTAAACGTGGCTATCACTTGTACCTGGTGTAATTTATGACGGGCAACACTATCAGAGTTTATTGTTCCTCTTTGTACTTGGACTATGTTGACATTCCAGTGTTGTCTTACAGAATTATTGACTGATTGCTTAAATGTAGGGTAGGTAAGAATGGAGAAACCAGCTTGAGTGTGCTAGAATTTGAAAGTACGCTGCCGAAAAAAATCTGCCCCTTCCTTCAGACTTCCTTACAGAGCCCCTGCTCCAACACACACGAACGCGCACATGACCAATGAGGGCACGAGATAAGTTTGTGCACAGATGGAAGGCTGACAGGCAGGTAGGCCATCCAGTTATTTTAGCCGGGCTGGCTAAAATGATTGGTCGTGCTTTTTACAGTATTACGGCTTCCACAGATGACATTTTTTATGTATTTATTGTCAAAGCATTTCATGTATTCATTGCTATCGGGATGTTAAGAGAATTCCATGGAATATAACAAAAAGTGTTTCTGAAGTGAATTACATACCCCACCTTTAAGTGAGTTGACAATTGTTTTTCTAAAGGCAACAGAAAAGGTTTTTTTTGTGAGCACCGTTTTTATCATTTTTCCGGCAATCTTCACTAGAGATGACACAAACATTTTGATATAAAAATGAAAATACAGAGAAATAAAATAAATGTTGGAGTGTCAAACATTCATCCCCAGTACACATCAAATGCTTGGAGAGCTCATTTGAGGACAATGGCAGGGCTGGATGAACCTGTTCCTGGGCCTCGGGCAAACATTTGCAGCAATATTAGCACTTTGGTAAATCTGTTGTTTGCATTTTGCAGAGAATTCGTTCTCTTTTGCTAGACAGTGGAGACACTGGGCGGGGCCCAAGCTACACCCTCCACCAAGTTTCATAGACATTGGGACAGTCCTTTTTCTGTAATCCTGCTGACAAACCAAACTTAAAACATTACTTTCCTGGCGGGACAGAGTTATAAATCAGTTGACACACAGTAAGCCTGCAGCTTTTGAGGCCCTTGAAGCTTGGAAGTAATAAAGCCCTGAAGAGAGTGATGGTCCATTTAGATTCACATCAGTTACAATGGTTTCCAATGGAGACCCTGAAGAAACCCCAGAAATGTCCAGTTCATTTGCAAAATTACAAAAGAACAAAGTAAGATGTATGTTAAAAATCCATTCAGCCTCTGTGAATTATTCAAACTCTAAAGTTTAAAAAAGACATCCTCTCCTCAAATTAGAGCGCATCGGTTCAAGAGATTATAACATCAGTAGACTATGAGCTGTTGGTGATTTCAACATTTTAACCAGGGTAACCATACATTCAACATTTAACCTCTCCTTAATGTTGAGGATCTCCTTCTTTACCACAGATCCTAATATGCCTCAAACACTGGATAACATTGCTGAACACACCACGCTATTGTCTTCCCATAGCTCAAAGAGTGAAGTCATGATAAGCATTTTACTCCACAATAAAATCATTTCTTATTTCTCTCTTCTTCTCATGCCTGTCTTTACGCCACCCATCTTTTCCCTCCCACCTCTGTTTGACTACATTTTTGTTAAACTGGTGTGAAATTTGAGAGCATTACTCAAAGCATCAATCTTCTCTCCGTTTGGTCTCTTCTTTAGGTGTGTCACTTCGTGGTGTCGGTGAACGGGTTGTGCGTCCTCTCTCACGACTACCGGACCGTCAGCAGCCTGATCCTAACCGGGCCCCGGACAATCGTCATGGAGGTGATGGAGGAGTCATAATGTCGAGGAGAGCCGCGACTGAATCCCTCACAGACGAGTAGTGCAGTAACAACGGCGGCACTTGAAGGTTTAGTCCTTGACCTCCAAAACCACAACAGGACAGAGCAACATGGACGACTTTAAGGCATACTCTTTCAGTTCCAAAGGTGGAGGACTGAGACACAGAGTATGTCCAAGAAAGTGGTCTTTAAGTGAAGTAAATTATTATACCTGCAGACCTAACATACTGGTGGTACTTCAGTTTTTTCTTTGAATTTACAGGTGCACGCATAAAACAAGTAAAGGGTAAGATCCAAAGTGCCCTCAAAGACTCACACAAAGAGTTTTAATAGAGAAGCTACTTTATGTGTGAAATAGGAAGCCCATGTTTCCTGGGTTTGTTTCGAAACCAGAACGGTTTCATGAATCTGTGGCTGAACATGAAGAGGATTCAAAGGATGAGTGATCAAGATGGTCATACGAGTACAAGCAGATACTTTAACTATATGAAAGAATATTTCATGCTGACACATTTGATGACCTCTCCCCCAGTTAGTTTCCAAACCTGAGCGAAGGTTCCTGGTAGCTGAGTGCTGCCCTCTGGAGGGAGAGGCAGGAAGACACACAGCTACACACTACAGCTTCCTGCATCAGAAGTCTTTGGTTTAAGGTGATTTTTCCTGTTTGGGGAACCAGTGTCATTTAGAAAAAAGACACATTTCTTCCCTTGTCGTGTTAAAGAAATTAACAAATCAATTGAAACCCTGGTAGATTTACCTGTAGCTGTTAGGTATTAGTTAGTTTACCTAATAAAAACTCAGTGCTAAACTCTGTGACATTAACAGGCACAATGTATATAGAAAAGTTAGGAAAGACTTAACGCACAAACAACCTAAAGAAGTTCTGCTTTAGAAGAAACCTTAATGTGTACATTTAAAGAAGCAACATCACTTCTATTTAACATTATTTGAAAACAAGAAATGTCCACAATAACATAGGTCATTGTTTGTTTATAAAAACAGAGATCGACTCTATTAAACATACTATTGAGGTTTTGAACTTACAAATATTAGTAAAAAATAAGTAAATATTTGTAAGGTGCGTTACATTTATTGCTGAAAACACAAAATGTGGTGCATTTTGTGCCAGTAACAATGACACAAATCTATAATTACCCTAAACTATAATTGGATTTGTGTTATTACAACCAGATTTAATTAGGAAGCTTTTTTTTTGTAGATTTAATTGACTTTAAATATAAAAATGGTCTCTGTATTTTTTTTTTTTTTTAACAATTAAAGAGTGAATAACTATTAGAGCACTCGAGCTATTAGAACATTTGTTTTAAATTGACAAAAGCACTTAAGTGACAAAAAGCTTTCTTCTTAAAAACAGAATTTAGATTTGTAATATCCGTATGCATTAATGCATAGACTCTGGAAAGGTTTTTGTTGATTTTTAACAAACATATTTTAATGCTGTGAGAAACACAAACAAATAAATGTTTAACTGAACTGCAGCATAGCAGGCTCGACGTTTAGATAAATCAATTTGTACGTACTTAGCCTCAAAGAAATCGTCAGAATTAGCTGTATGTTTGTAGCCTCCCCCCCCCCCCCCCCCCATGTGCAAAGACATACATGCATGAGAAGACCATATTACTTGTTAGTTTTAGACAAAAGAACACTGCCTGGTTCATTGAATTTAGTCAAGTGAAATATTATTTAATACAAATGCAGTACATTTTTTCTATTCAACATTGACATGATATTTTCAGGAAATCTTTATTGCCAAACATACTGTACTTCACAGTAAACTGCCTCTTAGTCTCTGAAGTAAGTCATTCAGAGGACTTCTCATTGGTTTTCCCTCAATGTGCTTCGATGTTGTGCGCAGTGAAATGCATGATTGTGATGTAAATGTGTGCTTATGTAGCATTAGCTTCTAATCCAAAGCACTTCTTCTCTCTATTGACTTGTAGGACTGAGTTATCAGACAAATAATTTCAAATTTAAAGTAGAGATTTTGGCCTTTGTTTTCCAACATGCTTTCCCATTTTCTAGGTACAATATTGTAATGTAACTTCCTCAATAGTTATAGACTATTTTACAGACATAAGTGATTATCTCTGGTTGATAAAGGGTCATGACATTTTGTCTCACTTGCTCACAAAATTCACCCCCTCATTTTGTTGGGTGATGACATACTATTTTAACACGAAGTTCTTGGGTCTGTTGTTTTGGGTTTGGAGAAGATATAAAAGACCCTGAGATTTCAATATTCTTGAATACCTTTTCAGATTTGTCCATATAGCAGGTAACATGACAAAAATAGTTTTCAGACATGAGTGATGCTTCAATCAAGGTTCTTCATTAGTCTACTGTAGACATTTCATTAACGGCTCATATCTAAACTCGGCATGTGTTCAGTTTTTCTTTCATATAGAAATCGCCTTCCTGCAGTATTAGCTCTTTTACCTGGAAATAAGCTGTAGGGTTGGAAGATGGAAAATGTTTCCTGATTGTCCGCAGGCAAGTGGACAAGTTGACTGTTTTAGAAAATGGAAATATGCAGAATAAGTATGAAAGTGTCAAATGTTTCCCTTCAGGTGGATTTAAAAGTCTTTAAGGAGTTCTTTGTGGTCGTTGGCAGAAACGGGTTTGCTGACTTTTCACTGCATTTGCCTTAAGACATCATTTTGCTGCTAACCCCAGTTTGATGCTCATCTAATCTCCTGTTCTGTTCCCAGATCTTTGTATCCCTGACTGTTTTGAAAGTTGTACCAGGTAATCATGCCTCAGTTCTGTTGACAATCAGTGTTTTATGGACACCAACTCCAAAATAGCACAACAGTGGTTTAAATATTGCCTGACAGAATGTATTCCTACATTGTGCTGTTGATATTCTCAGTATTACACCTTAACTTTGACGATTACTTCACTCATTTAATTAAAGGGATCTTTTTCTTCAGGTTCACTTCATGATGGCGCAAACATTTTCAGTGTTTTTGTTTTCTCCGCTATCAGAGATTGAATGTTAGGTTTGCGACAATATAAGCTAACAGTAACTGTCTGTTTTTGACAAAGCAGCTAAAGCTCAGTCTGATGTTCTGATGTATTAAACAGTTGATTAAATGTTTAATAAACAAGTTGATTCTACTCTGTGCTCCTGGTTTCATTTTCAGGATGGTTGGGTTATTGTTTAATTAGTTATTAATGGATGGAACACTTTTGCTTTTTGGTCTGATTCAGTTCAAAAATGTATATTACAAATGGAAATATCAGAATCACAATACCTTTATTGGTCCCAGAGAGGGGAAATGTACATTGTTGCAGCAAGTAAAGAGCCAAATATTGCTTAATATTAATTACAAGCATTCATAAAATATAAAAAATGAAAGTTAAAGCTACACAATGTACAACTTACAAAATGTACATCTTGTACCAGTAACAGCTTTGAGATAGCAGCCAGGTGATATTGAAGGTGGACGTTTATAATTGAATTGTCTAACTATGTGACAGAAGCCATTAATAAATATAAAATAATGAAGCGATATATATATTGCACATATATAACTGCAAACGTAAACAAAATTATTTCTTAAAAAATCCAATTGGTTTATATCTTCCATTGCATTACCGAATTATGTTATGGGTATTTATGACATCATCCTACTTCACAGGTAGATGTCCCAATCATACTTTTCTCGTTTATCACATGGTTCACAAGGTTACAGTAACATGTAGCCTAATCTGTTTTGTTCATAATTTTCTAATTTGAATGACACCCCTTTTTCTATCTTTTAAATGCACTATCAACAGTTTACTAACAGGGGGTGCTGCTGTACTGTAGCACACGTTCTCCACAGCGTAAATGTTTCTGCTGATTTTACCTTAAACCCCACCATGTCTCAACCTTGCTGTATTCTTTGGTAAATGTTATTCATTTCAGCGAGGGACCATTGACTTAATAGAAAAATGTGTCAAACTCGACCAACTGTGTTCTGGTCTGTGTGTGAATGTGATCCCCAGAACAAGAATGCTAACATTATGATTGTTGATAGTCTGATCATAGTACTCTTCTAATTGCCCATGTTCAATCTATTTTTACCAATTATTTTTGGGGTGTTAAATACAATACTAAATGCATAGCTGTATGATCTTCTTAACTGTCTGACCCCTCTACAGGTTTTCAAGCATTCCTGACCTCACACACATCTGACAACTGAAATAATGAAAAAATAATTAAGGTGAGTTACAAAAGAATATGAATGTTGACCTTCACCTCACAGTTGTGTAATTTTGTAGTGACACTTTACTCACTGTGGCTATATACAAGCATGAGGGTCCTCTTTCTCTCTCCCTTTCTTCATCCCTCTATCCTCCAGGAAGACTGACAGATACACTAACTAGAATTGGCCTTATCAGATGAGACCATCGCCACCTTTCATCCACCTATCTGTCTATTCATTGCATTCACACATCCATTGATTAGCTCAGCAACCAACCTTCATGTCACCTCCATCCATTCATCTGTCTGTCTGGTGTCTGTCTGTGTTTCTGCTCAGTCAACAGAGTAATAGATAAACAGGAAATGAGAAACTATTGCACACACACACACACACACACACACACACACACACACACACACACACACACACACACACACACACACACACACACACACACACACACACACAGTGAAAGCCTGCTGGACAGTTTTTTGCTTGAGGACAAGATCAAGAAGAGAGCAATGAGGGTATTACATTTAAACAACAAATGTAAGGCAAACAGTAATTATGTTTTTGGAGGAGTTGTGAGCTTTTTGTTTCCAAATATGTTCTTTTCATGGGTTCTAAGAGAATAATTTCATGTTCGCTGCACACAGAATCACAATCTGCCAAAGTTTTGGAATCCAATTCCAAACGGGGCCAACTCACTAAAAATGTACGAGCTCAGAGAAGCCCGGGATGATCATATTAAAGTTTCAAAAGCCCAGTTGGTCTAATTAAAGCAACACCAATGCAGACGTTACAAGCCAAGATGAAGTAATTAATACACATATCCCTCTTGTGACGGGGACAGAAGCCAAAATAATGGAGTTAAGGAGAATTATGACCTGCATTGCAAGCAGGGCTTTGGTTTTATTAATAGTGTTGGACAAGAACAAGAAAGGCAAAATGTCTCGCTAATTTCTGTCCTGACTCAGTGTTTCCTTAATTATTGCCAAGCGTGATGGATATTTTTAAATAAATGGCACGCATACAGAGCTTTAAACAGGCTATAAAGATAGACAAAAGCCACAGACATTCTAGAATAAGAAGAATAGGAGTTTTCATGTTGTGTTGGCAATAATCTTTGAATAGTCTCTCAAAGTATACCCTATTTATCTTAATTCTGGGTGATATTGAGGTATATGGTTTCAGGCTATTATTATGTTTTCATATCCCTGTTCTTTGGTTGTGTCATACATAACATTGAGGCAGAGAAATAATGTAATACCAGAAAATTGAAATAAGATAAACTGGATCACAATATTCTTCGAGGTTTAATTAGCTTTTTGACACAGGGTGCTAAAAAAGCATGACTACTGCTTTGATTAAATAAAGGTTATCAGTGTTATCACGTGGGAAATATGAAACAATTTGAATATTACACAGAGAAGAGAGTAAAAGACTCATGTATCTGGAGATGAGGAATGTTTCAGTGCCCTCTCAGGCTGATGGACAGAATGCCTTTGAGGCATGATTACAGTGTTTGGTTTTCAAGGGAATTGTCTCCTGTCCCCCACTTCCCTCCCCACAGGCAGGGAACTGAGGACAAGTCACAGCAAGTGGAAATGTTAGCCACCTGCCAAACGATTCTTAAACTCTGGCTGCCAGCTCTGGGGATCTGGCTAGTCACTGGCAGGAGTCGCCCTTTGTTCAAATGGCAGTTCCTTTTTTTTCCAAAACGTATTTGACAAAATGTAATTATACCAGTTGGTGGGACTGGAAATCATGAAGAGCCTAGATCTGATACTATATTGGTATTAAAACCCATTTGTTTCAACGCCTTATAAGGATGCCGGTGCATGATTTAGGGAAGTCTAATTCACGGTTAAAGTTATTTTACCAATAATAATGTACTTATTTCATAGGTCTTACTATATACCGACTTGCTTTTAGTGCAAATTCATGGATGTGGATTGGAGATGGCAGAACAAAACTTTGTTAGCATGCTATCATGATCACCATTACAATGCTAACACGCCAATGATTAGTATAGTTATAACGTTTTCCTAGAAGTCAATCTTAGTTTGGCTTGTTAGCAAGCTAAAATGTGCTCACTAGTCTAACGTTAAGTTGAGAAAATGTCATAAGTTGTGCAAGAATTTTGTCCTAAACAGAATAACTGATGATGATGGTGCTACATAACAATTCAAGGATGACCACAATTATTACAATTCATCCTGATGGGACTTTGAAAGTCTGTGCAAAATTCCCTGGGAATCCCGGAATACTGGCTCGGATATTTATTTCGTTTTGTTCCATAATGTTGACAGACTGACATTGCCATCCCTGGAGCCACACTAGCATGTGTGAATATGGCAAATAAAAAAAACCTGTGCGTGTGCAACTAAGATAGCGCTGGTGTACCTTCTGTCTGTGCATATTACAAAAAACGTTGGTCATTAGATTAAGAACTTATTACCTATAAATGAATTGCTGTTTTTAAACGGATAAGATAGTTATCTTTATAATATCTGTCAGGTTAGCAGTCCTCTGAGAACGGCAGGTCTGGTTTCAGATGACAAACCGGCTAATAACTGTGCTAGTTTGGCTAATCAGTAGGCTGCGGACACTTCAGTCTGCTGCTGCCCTCATATTAACCTGCTGCTTGTTATTAACACGGTGCTCAAGAAAGAGCAAGGTCTTAATGGTGTGTGTGTGTGTCCAGCTGAAAAAAGGTTGAAAGTCACAGCATGAAGTGTTTTTCAGTCTGTCTGAGTTTATGTGTGTGAGTGAGTGACCCTACCTGCGTCCTTGTCAACTCTACTTGAACTTGTCTAGGTCTCTTTCTAAAGCTTATAAGACAAACACTCCATGTTTATTCTGTTGGTTAGAACGCAGCTTATTGTGTGTGTGTGAAAGACAAGGTGACACGGTTGCCAAGCCCCACGCCTAGGGTTATCTCTTCGTCTGGAAAATGTAGGGCAGGGGGCTTGAGGTGCGTGCCTTGATGTGTGAAAACAAAAGAGAGTGAAAAAGTGTCAGCGGTCTTTGTTTAAATGTAATATTAAGTGTGTTTGCAGATAGATGACTTCTTTCAATGTGTGTGATTCCCTCTCTGGGTGTGTGTGCATGCAAGGTCTGTCTTGACAAATGGATCAAATAAAAAAAGTTTAAATCACATCACTCCTGCAGCTTCTGAATTGCAGCAGGTTGCAGTTTTTACTTTTTAGAGAAACAACCTTTGCTTTATTAATAACAACCATTTCTGGGAACAGAATGTGCTGCTCTCTTACTCTTGCTGATTGATATCTTTAAATAAACAATTGTCCTACACCCAATTCAAGCTTAAGCATGTGCTTGTACAAACACAAATGAGGGGGTTCCTGTTTCCTGGGAGAAATCCTCTCCCTACAGGATATCAGCTTTCTTTGTTGGTCAAAGCCAACAATGATGACTTGTTTCTAATTATAGGAAGGTAGAGGAAATACAGGAGGATGCGGTGGAGTTGGATCATTTTGACGAGTACAATACATTTGTGCAGTGCAAACACCAAAGGAATGACTTCTTATTACAGACCAAAGCAAGAAAAACAATTGTTATGTGGATTATCAGTTTAAAGGCTTTTTAGCTAAAGTGTTTTACAAATGCTTAGTTCATCAAAGAAGCTGCCTCTTGGAGGACAACATATGAATGCAAAATGATGTGTATTCATTTTCAATTTAAAAAAAAGACACTTTGTTTGTGTGCTTAACACTTCCCTAAACCTTCTCACTGTCAAACTGAATATAATTGGCTGTCAAAGTTTTTACTTTTTATCTATAGTGTCTCGACACAAAGTCCCTTGCTGTACCATCCAGGTTTTACAAATGGAAGATCTGTCATATATCATCTTAATTCCCACACAGTAAGACAGCTGCTGATGTAAACTGCACACATTTTTCTATT